TCAAATATTATAAAACCAAGTCATAAAAATCTCAGGTGAATCAAATACAATCATCCCAAATCAGAGTATCAAAGTGTGGAAAAACATAAAATTTGCAAGCCAGAGTGTACAGTCAAGCCTTCGCCTTTCCACGATCACATGAAGTGCCTGAAACACATTTAATCCACAACGCTAAGCACGGAGCTTAGTGGGTCCCCAAAATATTACATACAGCTCAACAAAATAAACAGTTATGAGTTATCACCCTATGGATTAACAGCACACTTCAAGGGTTATCAGCAACCCTAGGGACTATCAACAATCCCGTGGACTCACAGTTGTCCAAGAGATATCAGCAACACATTTACACAATTCACATCATTCAACAAGTAAGACCTAGCTGGTCAGCATGCATACACTGCTACATAAGTAATATATTGAGAAGACTCACCTCGCGAATAGCTTCTAGAATTACAATAACTCTCACACACAGGGTAGACAGGAGAAATAAGACACCTAACAACAATAAAGACATACCCTTTCAGCCTACATCCTTAAAACCCTAGCTTGACCCAAAAAGTCAACCATGGTAAAAAAAAATCAACTATGGTCAACTTTAGCCAACAGTCACGTCGTGACCACCAATAGATCACGTCGTGACTGGACCAAGACAAACCATCGCAAAAACCCTCCTCTCACGACGTGACATGTCATTCATCACATCGTAAGATCCGTTCTGGACAGCTTTGAACATTAAGCTCTTAATCCCTTAAGCTACTCCTTGAGGCTTTCCGGAGGGTTTACCCCAACCCTAAGGACCATAAAAATCATAGTTTTTCAGTTATACATGTCCAATGCATGACTTGAACACTAACTAGGTCAATAAGGAAAAAATGAGGCCAAGACTCATGCTTGGAGTCTAAAACCAACACCAAACCTCAGATCTGAAACTTATACTAAAGAAAAGGCCTCAATGATTCATAAAGTTGCTAACTTTATGGATCTCATGCATGTTACCCAACCCAACCATGAAAAGAAAAGAATAAATTGTAGATCTAGCATGCATAAGAAATAAAGGCAAGAGATTTAGGACTAACAAAGGTCCAAAAGCACTGCAAGATAATGAGAAAGGAGCTTGTTTGCCAAAAGGATGCACCCAAGGAGTCTTCTTCTTCTTCAAGGAATCAAAATTCACCAAATAAGCTCTTCAAGGCCACAAGGGAAGCTATCTTCGATTAGGGTAGGAAGAAGGTGATGGAGGTTGAGGGTGTGCAAACCCTAGCCCCTCACTTCCTTTAAATATGGCACAAATTATGGGATTAGGGAAAATTTGTTCTCACGTCGTGACAGTCTATGTGTCACGTCGTGAGCCACGAAGATGGACACGCGTCTCAGCCCGATGTCATGTCGTGAGGCTTCCTCTCTTGTGACCAGCCATAAACTTGGGAAATTTTATGCATTAACCAATTCAAACTTTAGCAGATCAGATACCTGCAATAAATGTTACATTTTGATTTCTTTGCAGGAGAGAATTTGAAATGTACTATATTGTTTGGGATAAAAGAGCATGTCATGATATTTAAAAGATGCTTTGTCCCCTGCTTCCTAATGATCACCAGGTAATAGGTAATAGGTATGAAGATGGCGACCTTGACCTTCCTTTGAACTCGATTTTAAGATTGGATGAAAAAACGATGAACTTCGCTCCCCTTTATATGAATTGATCTGTTGTAAAATTGATGGGCATGATTGAATTTTGACATTGATTCTATGTAGTTGATTTATGTGTACAAAGGGTTTTGATTTTGTGTTCATTGTTTAAAATATTGAGGAAGGAGAAGACTCAGAAAGACGTCAATATCTGTTGGAGAAAACAAGTCACCGGAGGGGAAAAAAGAGTCAAAGCGGGGTGTTGAGTCAAGGGCAAAAAACAACCAAATGAATGAAAACATAGGATTAGCGTGTGAGTCTAGACCTTCAATTTTAGATATAATGTGTTCATGGAGTTCGGTTTTATACTTCTGATTTCCACCCATCCTTCCCAACCATTTCATCTGCAACAACTATGGTGGATCCGGTCGTCTTCCTTGGTTAATTATGACGAGGCATTCTTGGGTTTTTTTTTCATTTGATTAAGGAAAAACTAGTATGTAGAGGTTAAAGTGGTGGTGGTTTGTTTCTGTTTTGTGTGATCTGTTCTTTGAAAGTATGATGATGAAGGGTTTCTCTCAGGATTTCTTGAGGGGAGAGAGAGAGAGAGAGAGAGAGAGAGAGAGAGAGAGAGAGTATTATAAATAAGTATTTGTCACACCCCCAAACCGGAACGGCGGAAACATTCGGGGGCGGAGGACGTCATGTGTAGTATCACAACAATTGTATCATAGCAAGCATAGTAAACACAACCAAACATTGAATACATATATGAAAAAGGTTTACATCAGTTTGAAATCTTGTTTTAGGTACATCAAAAGTATGTAAAATAATAACATAAGACTCTTATTGCTCCAGCTTCTCAAAATCCAGCAGGTACCTGTCTACTGATTTCCTGAGAATACAAGCAGTTTTGAAAGAATATCAACATAAAGCTGGTGAGTTCATAAGCATTTAGTTTTTTGTGGAAAATGTTTCTTTGATCCTTTTTGAAAAGTGTTCCTCAAGAAAATCCTATATTTTCTTATGAAAAGCAGTGTTGTAAGAGTGTCTATTAGTAGAAGATAAATCATCAGTTTTAGAAATGCCAATGTTATCCTGGGAAAATCCCATATTTTCCCTAAAAACAAGTTATCTGTCCTAGAGGTAGAGATGTAAGTTTAGAAATCCTTGATTACTATCAGTGTATATATGAAGGTAGTTTTATTACTAAAAATAAAACAAATGAAGGGTAGAGTCCGTAAACCAAAGTTAGTTTATACTTATTTGCGAGTCGTATAACCATACTTGATATGACCTAGAGACCTTTATAACGTTATTCAGGCGTTAAGCTAAATGAAATTTGTTCACCCCAGGCATGCCCGCCTAACTGTAGCTAGCAGTTCAGGTGTGGGATTGCCAGTCCCGAATAGATCTATTCACAAATCTCATGCTCTCCCTCCAGGAGACTCTGGTTATACTATGATAGGATTTAGTTCCGTACACTAAAGGGTACAGTATTGAAGTAGAGCCTCACAATTCTGTATAATCTAGTTTACTAGCGAGAAACAGTATAAAACAGTAATTATTCTTGAATAAGTGTACTTTATACTTCTGAGAAAACATATAACATAAACTAAATCGGCCATAGTTTATATATATTCATCCATGAAATCTGATTTGGTAGAAACTGCCTAGAGGGTTATCCCAAACTATACCCATTATAGTTTACTAGTGTTGTTATGGAAAATGTTTTGTAAAACCTTTCTGAAAGCTATGAAGTGAGATTTCCAAAATAACAATTTCCCTTATGCTCAACATATTACAAAAGGGATAAAATATCCGAGTAAGTTATTAAACATGGAAATCATTGAGTTGTATTAATAAGTTTAAAACTTAATAAAATACTTTGAGTTTGGCTTGTATTCCCCCCTGAAAACATTAAAAACACGGAAAATGTAGGGGTATGAACTCACGTGCAGTGAGTGGTTCTGACGTGTGGTTGAAAGAGGAGTGCAGAGTGTCAGGTGTAACCTTGAGCACACAATGATCCTAATAGACACATATAGACATGTATGTGTATGAATTTAGTGTATAGACGACTAAATAAGAAGGGTAACACCCTTATTGGCTAGGAAACTCTAAGATTTATGGAATACAATCACATATGATTGCATAACTAGTGTATATGGCCACCCTATAGAGTTTACGGTCAAAGAGGTATGACCATTGGAGTTCACGGTCCAAGTGTTCACGGTCTTGGTGTTTACGGTTTTAGTGTTTACGGTTTTAGTGTTTACGGTCCAATGACCTTATGGTCATGGAGTTCACGGTCTAATGACCTTACGATCATAAGGTTTACGGTCCATGGGTTTACGGTTCCATGGGTTTACGGCCCATAAATATACGGTCATTGAAGGGTGTACGGTCTAAGGAGATACACTAGACCGTAAACTCATCAATCTTGCACAAATGATGGTTTTCAAGGGTTTCATTCAAAGGTGTCAGATTCTAGGGACCATGCTTAGCCTTTGGAAGGGTAAAGGCTGTAAGAACACCCTTTATAAGGGTTTATGGTCTATGAAGATTCATAGGACCGTAAACTCTTTTGTTCAAGAAAAGAGTGACGATCTTAAGTCCAAAATGAAGGATTTTAACTCGATTCATGAAGGGGAAGATGATACTTACGGTTTTTGAAGGCAAGGAAGGTGTTTTCGTTCCAAAACACAATCGTGTTCTTGAGGATTCTCGATGAAGGTAGAGAGAGAGAGTAGAGAGAGAAAGCCTTTGAAGTGTTTAAAGTGAAAAGAATGGCTGAAATGATCAACCATTATATATATAGGGAGGAGTTTACGGTTACTCTGACCGTAAACTCAAGGTCTCAACCGTAAACTCCTTTTTGAGGAGGTTTACGGTTGCTAGGTAGTTTAGAACTTAAACTGACACTTCCAAATACTAATTCCTTTGATTCACTAGAGTTAGGATACTCAAAACAGATTCCCAAACAGTGATAACTGGGAGCAAAATGAGTCTAACACTGATAAATTTGAATGTTTACACAAGTTATAAATTTCGGGTTGTCACAGTATTCAATTTAAGAAAATAAAAAAATAAATACATCAAAGGTATTATAGTTGTTTTAGTTTACAAGTTAGAAATTTCGGGTTGTCACATTATTCAATTTAAGAAAATAAAAAAATAAATACATCAAAGGTATTATATAGTTGTTTTTAGTTTACAAAGAAACCAAATCCACATAACAAAAAAAAATTGGAAAAAAATGTATACACAAGGACATAATGCGAGTGTAATTAGTACTCCTTACTATAAAAACAAACACGGCAGTACAATATAAAAATTCCGATACAAATTAACATGACCTCCCTGTTCCAATGCCTACTCCCTCGGTATCATCTTCCTCCTCTTTGCTCCTCGTCGCCGCCGGAACTCTAGCTTTCGGTTCTCTCGTCTTCGTCTGCCGGAGATTCCTCCCCCCAACCTCCAATGCATCTGATAGTCCCAACCGCGTCCACCGCGAATATCGTACAAATCTCCCCCAACGGAGATTCAGTCTTCGACGGCTAGATCTGAGTTTCCGAGTAGGGCGAAATCGCCGGATCGTGCTTCTCATTCAGGCAGCAACGTTCTTTATTCATAACAATGGAAGTAGGACGCAGTTGTGGTTTTCGGTCAGAATAGGAGGGAACTCGGTGGAGAAAGAAGTCAACGCTTTGATGATTTTGCTTCTGTTGCGGTGGTTAATGGCGCCAGTTTTTGTAGAGATGATGGAGGAGATAGACTACGCTTCGAGTATGTACCTTTGCAGCCTCCGGTTGCCTTTGATTGCCTGGGCGATCGCTTAAGGTTAGGGTTCGTAACTGGAACTAATATTCAGAGCATATTCCGACTCAAATTTGTGCATTACATCCAAATTGGAAATGTAGTTTTTGCAATTGGTATAGAGAAAGAGGATCATCTTTTAGTTCGTAAGTGAGAACTAAAGTTTCAGAGACCACAGGATGATCCGCCTTCAATTTGTGGATCAATGAAAATGTAGATTTTAAACTGAAAATTATGCAATTGGCGTATAGAAAGGATCATCTTTATTTCATATATTTAAATATTTTGCTCTCTTGCATTTCGAGAACCATAGGAAGCCCTAAAACGGGTTTATTATAGAGGGAAATGAAAATGGAAATGGAAATGGAAAATGGGTTATGTTTGTTCTCTTGAGTAGAAAACTTTTTAGTTGGTTCTTACGGATGGGCTATTCAGAAATAGAAAACTATTTTAACATAAAACAATATTGAGAGAGGTAACTCAAGTCTTAAACACACAAACAAATAACTCCTGTTTTATTTCAAATGGGCAAATGCCCTCTTTATAGGCTCTAAAGAGCCGGTTACAATTATAAATTATATTTACATTTTAGACCCTTAGACTATCAAGGGTCTTACACTTTATTTTACGACACACTTTATGTCACATTCTACATTTTATTTTACATCACATTTATCCTACCGACATTTCAAAAATAATTAAATCTACCGACACTTTTAAATAAATAATAACAATCTCTTCCACAACGAAAAGACACGTGTTTTCAATAATTGTTATTATTTTATTTAAAAGTGTCGGTAGATTTAATTATTTGTAAAATGTCGGTAGGATAAATGTGATGTAAAATAAAGTGTAGAATGTGACATAAAGTAAGTGTCGATAGGATGTAAAATAAAGTGTAAGACCCTTGATAGTCTAGGCTCTAGGGGTCTAAAATGTAAATATAGTTTGTCGTATTGCAATCGTACGATTGCAATAATAATTGTAACCGACTCTTTAGAGCCTATAAATAAGGCATTTGCTCATATGAAATAAAGCAGAAGTTATTTGTGTGTTTAAAACTTGAGTTAACTCTTAATGTTCTTCTCTGTTCAAATAGATTTCTATTTCGAATAGCAGAGTCCTCTATTCAAAACCATCCATATAATCAAAACAAGATCATCATCAAGATCATCATCGTTCAGGTATAACGTTCCAACCCATCCTAATTTTAATTAATGTCATCTTATGAAGAAAATTTGGTATCGGAGCAAATCATTATGACAAATTATTATTATTTAACTTTGCAAATCATTATTAAGACTTATCATTTATAATTTTTAATATCAATAATTTTGCTAATTCATAATTAATCACTTTAGATTCTTCGTTAGAAAATTTTCTACATACGATGACATTGATAAAAATTAGGATGAGTCGGAACGTTATACCTGAACGATGCGTCGAGATGATCTTGTTTTGATTATATGGATGATTTTGGATAAAAGACTCTGCTATTCAGAAATAGAAATCTATTTCAACAGAGAAGAACATTAAGAGTTAACTCAAGTCTTAAACACACAAATAACTCATGTTTTATTTCGTATGGGCAAATGCCCTATTTATAGGCGAAAGAGTCGGTTACAATTATTGATTGCAATACGACAAACTATATTTACATTTTAGACCCCTAGACTATGGAGGGTCTTACACTTTATTTTACATCCTACCGACACTTACTTTATGTCATATTCTACACTTTATTTTACATCATATTTATCCTACCGACATTTTACAAATAATTAAATCTACCGACACTTTTAAATAAAATAATAACAATCCCTTCCACAACGAAAGGACAAGTGTCTTCAATAATTTCTTCGTTCGTCATGACTTCCTGTTCTAATAAGACTGAACGGTGTGGGCAACGCCCACAACCGTTTTTCTAATGCGTACAACGCTCAACGGCGTGATAACGGCAAAACACCCCCCCCCCCCAACCATTTCGTTTTCGTCTTTTGTGAGGCTAGACGTTACCCTTCGTTGCATTCGTAACTTTTCATAACGCGTGAAACGGTCCAATATTTGACCGTTGTTGAACGGTAATATGTTTAAAAAAAATAACTTTTTTTTATTTTACCTATAAATACACATACAAACATAAAATTTTAAACCACACAATCTTTTCTCATTTTCATTCTATTTTCAACTTAAAAAAAAACCACTTTTCCTTTCAACCATATATGGAGCAAAACCCGAAAACCCCTCCTCCAAACACAAACATATCCATCCCGATGGGTTTCGCACAATACGGAAGTTATATGAACATGCTTACCTCAAACTCACCCCAAATGCAATTTACTACATCCCCTTACATGCAGCAAAACTCAAATCTTCAACAAAACCTTTTCAGTGCTTTCACTTCCATGCAACAAACAACCACACAACCACCACCAGAAATAGTTCCTGAAACACAAGCAAGAGGCAGTCGGAAAGGGAGAGGGAAAGGAAAAGGGAAACGGAAAGGGAAGGCAGTCGCGGATACGAAAGAAGAACATCCACTATGGTGGACACCGGAGGAGGAGTATGCTTTGGCGGTGGCGTGGTGCGGAACTTCAAAGAATCCAACCGTAGGAAATGATATGCGAAGAGTTGGGTTTTGGGAAGTCGTGCTCGACAAATTCCACACGCTTATGAAGAAGCAACCATATCGGAATATCGACATGCTTAGCAGCAAATGGACTCCGATCAGTCGCCGGTGCACCAAGTTTAATGGGATTTTCATGAGACTAGAATCGCAAAAGCAAAGTGGTGCAAATGATTGATGTTTACAAAGCCGCGATGAAACAATATCAAGGGAAACGCTTTCGAGTTTGAAAAACTATGGGAGATTTTTAGGCTAGATCCAAAATGGAATAAGACGCTAACATCAGGAGAGGCACAATCAAAGAGGTCCCATAATTCTAGTTCGTTTGACGTTTCCGACGCACGAACGAACGTCGACCTCAACGTAGACACGGATGATATATCCGACGACATCGAAGAGATCTCCCCCCACGTCGACCGGTCGAACGCGAAAAAGCGAAACGTGCTCAACGTCACGCGGACAAAATTGATAGAAGGACACAAGAGTTGGCGGAAATGAAAGCAAATTTCGACCAACACAATTTGATTGCCCAACAAAAGGTTGATGTGCAACGTGAACACTTGGAGTTTCTTTGTAAACAAGCCGAGAAAGATCAAATGGCGAAGGATTTAGCAATTCTTCAGACCAACGAAGCAAATATGGGACCACGAGAAGCGCTAGTGCTCCGGAAGATGAAGGAAAAAATCGAAAGACAATATTTGGATGACTAGTTGATCGGTTTTTAGTTTTTAGGACAATTGTTTTTTTTTTTTTTTTTTTTTTTGCGTTCAACGTTGTGTTTTTTTTGGTGTGTAATGTTTTATTTAAGTTTTTAATGTTATGGTTAATCTAGGAGTTAATTAAATTGCATGTTTCGGTTTTTTTCTTTTTTTTTTATTAATCCAATGTGATTAAAAAAATATAATGAAAAAAAAAACAATCAAAAATAAATAAATTGAAAAAAATAAAAAAAAAACGAAAAAAAAATAAAAAAAGAAATGATGACATGGAAAGTTAAAGATGTTATAACAAGTTGCTCATTTCCTCCATTTTGTGTTATAACACTATTTTGACATCACATATGAGGTGACACTTTTTGGGTGTGATAACACCCCTTAACTAGTTGATCACACCCACTAGTCTAAAAGAATTTCTATTATAATAAAATAAATTCAAATTTTAAATTTGTCACTCTAATTACATTAAATTAAAAACATTAAAATAAAAATTAAAATTAAATTAATGTATTTATTTTAATCAACGATTACAATTTAATATAACTAAAAAAATATCTCTTAATTAATAATTTATTTAAAATAATTGATTAATAAGTTTAAGTTTTTATTATGAAATTTTAATTAATTTTGTAATCGTGGTTCCCACAGGTTATAAACTAGTAACTATTATCAGGGGCGGTCCTACAGTAGTGGGCAGTGGGGGCAATTGCCCCCACAACAAAAAAAAATCATTAAAAAATAGGTTTTTTTTAAAAAAAATATATTTTAACCCTTCAAAATTATATATTTTTACTCATCAAAAAAATTTGCCCCCCTTAAAAAGTTATAAAATTTTTTTGTCCCCTCTTCGGAAAATTCTTGGGTCCGCCCCTGACTATTATATGTAAAGAACATTATATTTGATATTTTTCATTTATACAAAATTGATGTTTTGTTTTTTATACAAATTCACAAGACGGTTGCATTGCTTACAGTTAAAAACCTGAATCAATTGCTACTAGATTCAATAAAAAGATATCAACTTCTTTTTTATCTAAAACCCAAAAAGGGTTAAATCCCAACAGAAATATGAGAGGTAAATCATGTACACAATAGACACATTAATATTTTAAATGAGATAAAGAACTAATCGGTTAGCAAAGAGCTTGTCCATAGGGGAACTACAATTGCAGGAAATTTCCCAACATAGGTCTTTTGTTCGTGTTAAAAAAAAAAAAAAAAAATCGCATATATTAAACACTATCTGACACCAAGATGTAAAGTGGAAATAAAAATTGGGAAAATTTACTATGAATCGAAAAACTCTCGATAAAAGGGGTACAAGAAGAAACCGTTACTCTGGAGAGGAGAAGATTTTTCTTTGGAATGAATGATTATAAATGATCTAAAAAGTTTGTTGCACATAAGAATTAAAAATACCTATAATATACTTTGATGAGGTACACCATGGGTCAACTTTGCTCTTTTATGTTATTAAGTCAAAGAAACTATTTTTTTAACAATTAAAAAATCCCATTGATAGAATAAAAACGGAGATAGATAACTATTCAAAAAATCAAAAAATAAACAATGACCCAAGCTAACCCATGAAACATCTTCAAAACTGATAATTCTTACATTTAAAGTCATGTACCAAATGACTTTTGGTCTAGTGGTAAAGAATGACTCTCTCAATTGAGAGGTTATGAGTTTAAGTTTTATTGGAGACATAGATAGTAATTTAAAACCAGATTAGTTTGCCGTTCTAAAAAAAATTAAAACCATGTTTGGCGCACTCACAAAAGATAGCTTTTAGCTTATATGTAGTGCATTAGGAGTGGGGGCACATGCCTCCAATGGCTCAAAAATTTTACATATAAATATTCCAATTATTTTAAAATTTATGTGTAAACCCCTTTATTTTATAATGTCCCCCATAAAAGAAAATGGTGGAATCGTCCCTGCCTATAAGCTAACTTATCAAAAAGTTAGCTTATAAACTACTTTATAATCTACAATAAACTACTTTTATGGTCTAATCAAACGTTAAATAACAATGAGCTAGTTTATTTCAATCAAAAATACCCTAAATAGACAAGTCTCTGTTTAAAGACTTTAAAAACTAAAAATTGTTTGTTTGGTTTCTTTAGATTTTGAGAAATTCTTTTGTACTAATTTCATTATTATTTATTTAAGTATATAAGTCCCATTCTTTAATTGGTGGATTCTCTAGCACTTTAAACAAAATATGACCAATTAAAGTTGTGAAAAGTCAAAGCAACTATAATCCCTAGGGTTTGGAAAATAGAAAAACAATTGGCATGGTAAACTAAAGGGAAAATGACTTATAAGGGTAAGAAAGTTTTAAAAACGTTCAAAAAAGACCATTGAAGTTTTTCCTGTTAAAAAAATATCATCTAACTAAAGTATTTGTATAAAAAACACCAATGAAATATACATTTTGTTTAAATCCCACCTAATGTAACCAGTTTTTGTGGGTAATTGATGACTTGGATTAAAAATTTGTTGACTTGGTCTAAGAGTAATAACATGGTGAAGTGGGATGACATGACATTTAGGGCTACAAAGAAAAGAAAGGGAACGACTTATTTCTTCTTATCCTACTTGTCTTCTCCTGCATCGTCTTCTTCTTGGGGTCCTGTGCATAGTTACCTGGGTCGCGACTCAACTCAATTCTCAAAGCGTTTCCAATTGTAATTCCAATCATTCTAGTCGCTACGAATTCGATGTTCCAAATCAATTTTATTTTATTCTGATCGATTATAAATTGTGTATCAGTCGCCACTTTCTGCTTTGGAATGAATTTAGCGACTCTTGGCAAAAGACGATTGCGACTCCTTAATTCGTATTCGACAGAGAACTTCCGGTTTAACATTACAATAATTAAACGATTTGCATCATTACTTTCTATTCTCTTCTTCTTCAATTTCTGTTAATATGTTCTTTTAGGTTTAATTTCTGAATTGGTGTTTGGAAAAAAATCGCAACACTCCAGAAGATGATAGTGAGACCATATTAGAGGGTAGATTAGACTTTAGAGCTTTGATAGTATAATGGTGTAAAGGGATGCAAAAGTATAAATCTTTAGTTATATTGTTCATGTAACAGTAGGGGTAAAATGGTCCATAAACTATCATCAAGCCATAATAATGGAGGGGCATGCCCAGAAATAGCAATGTATTTTTTGAATAATAACAAAATGGGCAAAATGATCCATAAACTGTCTATGAACTGTCAACAGGGGCATGGAAATTTACTTATGTGTTAAACTTAATATGATGTAATAAAGTAATATTTTTGAAATGGAATGGGTATAAGTATTTATTTTGGAAACTTGTAGTTTGGAACCAATCTTTATGTAAGAAAGGTAAGACCTTTTCCTTGGTGTGCAACTGGAATGGAATGACTGATTTGCACCTTCAAGTGTTAAGATTGCAAGTTTGATGTTGGTTCTTATTGTCAATCTTTATTGTAGGCCATGTGGGGTAATTTATTCAAGTAAAATGCATGTAATAATGCATTAGATCGATAGACTTCGTTGTCCAATTATTATTATATACAATAGTATGTCATATGAGATACCACATTGTTTGTTGACCTAATGAAAATGGTGTTTTATTTATGCTTATCAACAACAATGCATAAGCCTTAGCGGTTATATATATTAAAATGACTTAATAGCTAGCTTTAACAATCCAATGATCTAGATATCAATTTTGTAAATATAGAAGTAATCATTTTTTCCATCAATTTCAAGTTTAATGAAGTGCATTTTTCATGCTCAAATTTGGCCTTCTTAACACTCGAAATAAGTCTAATAAAATGTTGATTGAAAGTCGAGAGGTTGGAATAATCTAATGTAGGAAAACTTGTACTTTGAAAAAACAAGGGTTTTGGTACTGTAGCACAACAAAGTTTGGCGAATTTACACATTTTAGTCGCTAAAGTATTTTTTGTGCTCGATTGGTCATTAACGTTAGGAAATACTAAATAATTAAGGGTTTGGGGGATATTGTATCCGGTTTACAGGTGACATGCTGATGTGGCTTGACATATGTGGTTTTGTTTTTGGCACTGTAGCACAACAAAGTTTGGCAAATTTACAAATTTAATCACTGCAAGTAACCGATTGTTCCTGTATTAGGTCATATAATGGTGTAATTAATAGGTAAAATTCAACTTTAATGGTCTATTAGGCATAAAAAATACTTGAGTGACTAAATGTGTAAATTCGCCAAATTTAATTGTGTTATAGTGCCAAAAACCCAAAAAACAATCCCATTTTTTTTGTTTTGCATTCTCCAAAAATTCAACTTTGTTCTGATATTAAAAACCTATAATTTCATAAGGACCGGTAATAGATGAGTTCGAGTTGACCTATTTATTTACATGGATTGATAATTTCAACAAAATTCAAATGTTTAATTAAACGGCTATGATTTCCACGCAACCCAATATATTTGATAAAGAAATTGACCTCAAGTTGATTCTTTTTTTTTTTTGAATGACAAATCTAATCTACTTCTAACTTACACAGAACTTGAGCCTCGGCTTCAAAAAGAAAGGACAACACATAATACCGCAAAAAAGAAAGGACAACACATAATACCGCTGGACTAAAAACTTTTTGGTGACTATTTTTTTTGTATGTTTAAAACATATGGACTCGGTATTGATTTCCACACAACCCATAATATTAGATAAGCATGCTACATAAGCATTATATTAGATAAGCATGCTAGCCTAAGATTAGAAATTTCAACTCTAACCCAACCAATTTAGTTGGTCAAGTTAGACTAATTTAATTGAACTAGTTGAAAATTAAAATTCAACCCATTAAATTTGGATTGGTTTGTTTGTTCAAAAAAAAAAAAGATTGGTTTGACGGGTCAGGGTTGGATCGACTTTTGCCCGGTCTAGTTTTGATTACAATTTACTGTTGTCTTTATTGTATTCATATTAAAAGATCTTTTAGACATGAAACAAATTATCATATAATAATATTAATGTTTATGATTATGATATATATATTTCTGTTCTTTACAATTAAAATGCATCGAACATAATGGGCCCCGAATAAAAAGCTTTTAAGAAAGAATTGTAGATTATGATATAATGTAAGGACATTTTGCATAAGAATTGTAGATTATGATATAATGTAAGGACATTTTGCATAGGTTTGATGGACTAGTTGTTTTAAATGTAAGAAACACACTGTTATATGACACTAATAATAGCAAGAAGTTAAAAAGCAAAATACATATACTATTTCTTCTTGTTTACACCACAAAATATCAACCACATGTATGTCTTTAACATCTTCACAAAACTATCTTCAAATAATCCTTATTGTCTAGACAAAAAGAACAATTTTTATATCCCCTCAAACTCAACCAACAGTCTCATAATTTTGTAAATCAAAAACTCGAAAAAAAAATAAAAAGAAAAAACGGACTAGTTGGCTACAAGTTCATGAATAGCATCACTTACAAGTTCATCCTCAGATCTGACAGCAAGTTTCATTGCAACCTCCTTGGCACTATCAACCCCAAAGGATAAGCGAACAAGCACCTTCACATTGCCTATGTACACACCCGATAACAAACACGTGTGTGATCTTGAGTTGGCTGCAACCACTTCTGTCCCCTGAAACACAGCATATGAATTTGTCATTTTTATATTTATTTAAACATAACGTATGGATTTCATTTACTTACTTCACAAGGCTGCATGCCAAGAAGGTTGATGACAGTGTTCACGGCTTCTTTCAAACTTTCCCTTGGACCAAGGCCGTATTCATCAACACGCTCAAAATCTGGGGATAAGCTTTCCCATGCATTTCGGAAATTTGAGACCCCGACTTTAAGCATGTAGTCTGATGCAACCACCTCAAATTCCTCCAGTTGATATTCATCTTCCACACCATCTTCCTCAGCCTCACCGGTCGAGGGATCAACCTGGAATTTATATACAAGAGTTTCTTTGGTATCATGGAATGGAACCACAAAGGACAATGGATCATTACATTCCATTATCAATTATCATGTTTGATCTCACAAAGTTAAACAAGAAAAACAGGGATTGGATATTTGGATAGTATTTATTACCTCTTTAACAATGAACCTCAAGACATTGGAAAATTTGCCAATAGATGGAACACCCTCTGGTTTTTCAAATGCGACAAATGTTTGTCCTGGTGTATCATATGGCAGGGATTTTAATGGCTTGGTTGCTAATTCTTCAAATTCTTCTGCTTCTGAAGCATCCACAACAATCGTGACCTAAAATTTCAATATTGTTAGTTTTAATTTACTAAAAATAACATCTTATATATTAGAGCTTACATTTTCCAATAACTGCTCAGGGATTGTATTGGTACAGTTGTACTGGAACACAACGTACTTATCGAATATGTGTTTGACAACATTAACCGCATACTCCGTTTCAGCTTCAGTCAGCTCCACTGGTGCAGATGACTGGTTACAGAAACACGAAACTTTAATCAGGATAAGTTAAAAGAAAACCATGGATATCACATATCAGTAAGTTAAGGGATATGCTGTCAAAGAACCTTAAAAAGCTGTCCAAAAAGTTGAAAACTCTGGGATTGATAAGAGTAACTTTTCATAAGTATCAACTGTTGAAGTGGGGCCAGCTGGCGGAGCACCAAGACCAGTGGGCTTTTTAGCCTGAGCTTTTTTCTCAGCAAATGGCTGAGATTTTGACTTCCCTTGATACAGAATTGATATCAAAGGGTTCGTCTGATGGTTCCTGTATTCGCAAATTTTAAAAAATAATTATTGTAGGAAATGAGAAAAGTGACAAATTTTTGTGTGGTAACTTACATAGTTTTTCAAACTAGTCTCGAGGTTGACCAGTGGGAGATCTAGTGACCCAAAGAGAAATTCCTTTACATCTTTATCAGTTTCAACAACAGAACCATCGCCTCCAAGGGTATTCAGATATAGTGTAGCCCTGTCACGAACCTACCCATGACACCCAAAAAGTAGTCAAATGTTTTTGAACTATAGATTTAAGGTCAAACGTTACATACTGCTTATGAATACAACTAACCTCATCATCATTATCGTATAAACAGCGCCTTAATAGAACAAATATACGAGGCTGCAAATATTATGAATTCATGTTAGTTAAGACAATCGTCTACTTCAATATTAATAAACGAAATAATAAGTTTCAATTTTGGTCACTGAGTTTAACACTTTGTTCAGTTTTGGTCCCAAAAGGAATCGGTTTGCAAATTTGGTCCTTATTTTGATGTTTTATAACAATTTTGGTCCTTGAATCGTTAAATCTAACTACCACTCGGCTGTTAGTTTTTTTCAAAATGACCAGTTTGCCCTTGGACCAAAACTAAATAAGAAAAAGACAGTATGCCACAGGGACCAAATCTGTAATTTTCATAATTTTCTCTTGATTTTATTATTAAACTACTTTCTAAAATATAACATATTTATTTGTATTTGTCTTGACAAGTATAAGTTTTCAAAATATATTTAACATTTAAAATGACCATTTTGTTCTTCACCCACCGACATGTTGTATATTAAGATATTATTAGGCTAATCTTTATATTCATGAGCTAATGTTACCTTTTTATAAATAGTTTAGAGAAACAGATTCAATGTATATGGTATATATATATGATATTGGCTTGAAGTTATTTTCTATAAAAATCATAAAACTTTAAATAGATACATGAATTCTGTAATTACTAGAATAAATTTTGAAGATAGCACCAAACTTACCTTGAGTGAGTCAACCATAGCTCCAAACTTTGCCAAAGTGCTAACTGCACTGGCTCGAACAGTTGCGTTCTCAAGTATGACACGGTTATATATATAGCGAATGAATTTGCTAGGGTCTGCTGTTTTTGGTCCCTCAATTCCAAGAAAATGAAGAATCTAAAAATGAAGTAAAAAAAGTTCAGTAAAATAAATGACCAATGGAAATATAAAAAGTTAAAAACGATAAAAAGCTAGATAAAATTTAGAGTAAACTACAAAAATGGTCCCTGAGTTTTCTGATTTTGATATGTTTAGTCCAGAATTGAAATATTTTCAATTTTGGTCCTTATTTCAAGGTTTCATATCGATTTGATCCCCAAGACTTTCTGATTTTTCTCCTTATTTCAAGGTTACAGAGACCAAGTCGATATGAAACCTTTTTCAAATTTGGACTAAACACAGTAAAAAGCAGGAAGCACAGGGACCAGTTTTGTAATTTACTCTAAAATTAAAAAGAAAATAGCAGAAAGAAATGATAACCTGTGTTGAAAGATATGTGAATTCACAATCCTCGATGAATTCACAGAGGTGAAGGAGGCCGCCCTCTTTTGCATCTGGGATATCTCTTATAATAGTAACAATTGAATCAACGATTGCTTTTTTGTACTCAAACCCACCTTCCTCTCTCAATATATTGCTTAAGAAATTCATCCTAATAAGGAAAGTAGACAATTATATTGGTTATATTACATGTTGAATTTTGAGAAGAAATGAAGTTGAAGAGACTCACAATGTTCTGAATTTCAGGGGGAACTTCAAACATAATGATCGAATGGCATCAACCACAACAATTTTTGAACTCGTCAGCAATGTCAGACATGAAGTTTGTAATTTGTTTCATCAAACGATCAACACCTGATTCATTTCCAGTTTTCAAAAGTGTGGTAATGGCAAGGGTAGCGATACTTCTGTTTTGGTCTGAAATTAGACTCTCCATATCTATGTTGCAGGTAGTTACTGCCATTGGTTGAGTCATCGCCACCTGTACATGATGACACCCGATGTTATCTATCAGGATATAGATAAGGGGAAAGATACTATGGGCTTTGTTTGGTATGATTAAATGGAAATATGGAATCACAAAGGAGACAAAGTAAAGGAATGGGTTATTGTGTTCTATTATCATGTTTGGTTGAGTTGAAGGAATGGAATAAGTTATTCAATGATGTTTGTTACAATTAAAAAACTAAATTAAACTAAACTGATAAATAAATAAAAATAATCAAATAAGGATATATCGTTAAATAATCTATATATAAATATATTTCATGCTGTTGGAATAAACTTATAAACATATTCTATACGTATTTCATATAGTCAAAAAAAATTTCACTCTAAAAAAATTGCTAGCATAAGCTTTAAAAAATAAAAAAGAAGATAATTTTAGTTGTTTTTGGAAAATGACAAAAAAAACTAATTGAAAGTTTGAACTTTTTTTAAACATTATCGTTATTGAAGATTATATAAATAAAACTAATTTAGAATTATAGTATCATTCTATTCCATCAAGGAATGAAAAAACACCGCCTCCCCATGGAAGGACAATCATCTCAGGAGAAAGAATCACATGCCATGAGGAGTGCTCTATTCCATTCCAATGACAAACAGACACGGTTTTTTCATCACTTCATGATGCTCAATTCCATTCCCGCTTTGACTACTGTTATACCAAAGAAGAACAATCAGATTCACTATAGAGGGGGAGAAAAATGACCTTGTTTAATGTGCGGACAGCAGCAAATCGAAGTACTGGCTTAGAGGAACTTAAGAAGAGCTGTAGAACAGTTATTGCAGGGGTCAATTCTCGGCTAGTAACACCACTTAATTCCGTTATTGCCCTTGCAGCTTCAAAAATAACCATCTCTGATTTGTGGCGAAGACAACTTTCCAAATAGTCATAAAATGGGCGGTCCCCAGGTTGACTGTTCATGCTTGACTCCCTAATAACCTGAAAACAGTAATTTAATTATTTCACAGAAAAAATATATACATTCAAAAAGAACAGAGTGAACAAAACTACAAAAGTACCTGACTGGTGTAACGGATGAGTAGGCATTGGGCTAAAGGTGAACGAACAGTACCCTTTGTTAAGCTGGTAACTAATTTGCTGACAGCTAAGCGGTCGTTTTGTCTTATCTGGAAATATATCCGATTTTTTTTAATGAATAGTATTGGTTTGCAATACAAAAAATTTCACATGAGGCCCATTTGTAACAGTACCTGGTGGAGCAAACCAAGGGCGTGAAACTGTACAAGTGCAGCCCTAGATTGAACAGCTTCTTGTACCTCATTGCTCCATCTTTTCACAATCTCTGGGTTTGTCTAAGATAGAAGGATATAAGATAAGTAGAGATAAATAAAAATTAATAATAACACGAGCTATTGCGATTTCTCAATCACTGATTGTAAGATTGGTTTGATGGAATGGAATGGACAGGGTAAAGAAATAAGCAAGGTAATGCAATGAATCATTACATTCCATGATCATGTTTGGTTGGCTTGTAGGAATGGAATGAAATTTTTATATAATTTTACCTCTATTCTGTAATCTATACATTATTTTAATTATAAATTAACAACTTTGATTTATGAAAACTGAAAATTAAAGATAATAAAAAGCTCAATAAAACCTAAAGAAGTTATAATAAAAAGTTAAAAACAAAACCTTTCAGTTATATTCAAACAATAAAATTATAAAATAATTAAGATAGTGATTTTTTTCAAAAGTATTTGTCATTAAAAATTACATAAATAAAAAATAGGTTATATGGCAACTTTTCATTCCATTTGCAATCCGCATCAGGAAAAACAAACATTTTTTTCTCATTACAATGGAATGAACCATTCCATTCCTTCCATGATTCCATCACACCAAACACTAGTTAAGTTGTACCTGGAGCAAATGGATACCACTGACTAGGGCTGCACTAGCAACTACAGGGTTTTTGTCAACAATAGCTTGTTTTAAGTATCTTTCAATCTGAGTCAGAAGTGTCCCATCTGTGATGCGACAGAGAACACGAATAGCATTTGCTCGATACACATCAGTCTTGCTATTCATGTCTTTCATAAGGGAACTTGTGACAATAATAACCTTCATAGCACAAGGAAATGTAGCATGTCATTCAAATATAACAGCATAAAATCTGATATACAAATAAGGAATAAAATTAATTATCTGATACCTCATCTGCAGAGGGAGAGAGCTCCTTTATGATCAAATAAACCATTCTTCTTAATCCAATATCTTTAGACTGGAAAAGTTTTGTTACTGAAAAGAAAACTTCTGTGGCTTCAACCTACAAATAAAGAGCAACAATAAAATATTAAATACTAATATGATGTAACCAAGATGGATAAAAGATCTGGTGTTGTCTTTTTAACCAGTCAAAGATCTGACCTTTGTGAAGGTATCACCTTGATTCAGAAGATAAAGCAGCTTGGTAATAACCTGGCAACCAAAGAAGAAATATTATGTATTAGATCATGTTCATGTAAGAGGATGATACAACAAATTATGCACCACAAATCAGGTGTTGACATAAAAAAGAAGCACCTGAGAACACCTCCTTGAATCTAACTGAGGATCATTGAAGACCCTGGCTTCCTGAAGAACTGCTCCTTTCTCGATTCCAGAAAAGGGGGAATACTCTGCTGCACAATACAAAGAGACCTCATTTTAATTATTTACAACAAGTGTAGATCAAGTTCAGTAACATGAAGTTACAAAGATACACTGATATGTATCATACTATCATCTACAACCAATCTAAAGTATAAACACAGGTCGATGAATCGATGCTACAAAAGATGCAGGACCTTTTCATGCATTAATAACCAAATGTGCAGTACTCAGAAGCTGGAATCATTTATCAGTTAGATATGCTCTTCTATTAATTAGAAGGAATTGACTAGTTGTACTTAAGGGGTTGAAATTGCTCAAGAATATTTCATTAAGTGAGGTCAATCACACAACCTATAGATTATATCATTGTTCCATCAGCTCTTTAAGTCTTTGTAAACTTCGAGCTTGCCTATCAGATTAGCTGAAACTATAGGTTGCACACTTGGACCTATTCAAACACAAAGTAGATCTAGCAATGAAATGGAAATGAATTGAATCTCAATATAACACTAGAGATGATACTAGAGACGCTGATACTCAGTGGCATGATCACGACAAACAGATAACATGCCTATGAATTCCTATGCTCATTTTTTGAATTCTTTTGTTTGGCTATCAGTGTGGGGAGCTGATGGAACTACAACAGAATCTGCAGGTTATTGTATTTTACAACAATTTGTGAAATTCCACACACAGCCTTATCCTATTTCTTTTAATTACCAAACCAGATCTGTTGATCTCAATTTACAAAAATACACTGATCAAGATTACCATCAACAGATCAAAAGCATATAATTTGTTGAAGCCACCTTAGAAACAAGACTTACCCCTATACAATAACCAAACTATGCAGTACTCGTTTTTTGACAATTTCTATAAGATAAAGGCTTCTCCATTTAATCAGATGTGATTCGGTATTTAAGAAAATGTAGGAAGGATACATTTTAGGCTTTTTTCATTCCTAGAGAATATCTCATATGATTGTTGGAAATCTCGGTAAATAACATATTCTATTTTAGTTCCATCAAATCTCATTAAACACACAGTCAAGCCAACCTGATTTCACAAACACCATTATCATCAGAAATAATCAGATCGACTGATATAGTAATCTCTCAACAGCTTACAAATCAGCTTAACTAAATTATTTTCACTACCTGTTTAACCACAATGTAGATCTATAATGAAAATAGAAATCATCTAAATCACACAATAACAACGAAGAATAGCAGTAACAGGCCAAACCTCCGTAATACACAGTCAAGTCAACTGGATTTCGCAACACCAATACCATTAGTAACAATGAGATCGAACGATATAATGATTTCAAGAGCTTGCAAATCAGATTTGCTAAATTTACATTCACGACCTATTTAACCACAATGCAGATCTAAATTGAAATCGGAGATCACTTAAATCACAGTGATACTGACGAACAGCAATAACGGGCCAAATCGACGAAAATGACAAATATTATCAGATAATTCAAAAAAACGAGGTAGAAATTCGAAGTCTTACCTTCCTCGTCGCGATCATCGTCTTTCTTCACGTACTGCGCCATTAGAGTGAAAGAATAAGAATTATAAACCTAGATGTCCAATCGATTGCAAAAATGAATCAGATCTTCGTCTTCTGTGTCGGTATGAGTGGGATTGTGAGCCCAACTGGAAGTTTACGAGCAGATCTCCTCTCGTCTCTCTCCTTCTATCCTTACAAGAGAATTTTTTGACGGAGGGTTGCAATCTGCAAATACTATAAAATGTGTGTATTAACGCTTTACATAAAATAGTTAATTTTTGACAAATTTACAAAAGTGATCCTTGTGTTTTGACAAAAATATATATTTTTGATCCAAAAATATTTGCTGGTCTACTAATAGTCTAAAATTGGATTTTTTATTAGCTTTGGTCCCTTTTATAACAATCGTTAGAACCCAATGTTATCTAGTAAAAAAAAAGGATATTTCATCTTTTCAATTGGCTCTCCCATCAACACATATTATTTTAATATATTTGCGATCAAGCCAAGACATTTCCTTTCAAACTAGAAGTATCTGAAACATAAAATGAAAATCATAAGCACGTAGCTTAGTGAGTTCCTCAAAATACCACATACTAAACAAACATACTGCCAAGCATATCTGGGTGCTGGCCTACCCATTCTATTTATTTCAACCGGATACTACCGAGCATATTTGGGTGTTGGTCTACCGCTTCGGTCTATTTCAATTGGATATTGCCAAGCATATATCAGTGTTGGCCTACCCCTTCGATCTATTTTAACCGGATACTGCCAAGTATATTTGGGTGTTGGCCTACCCCTTTGGTATATTTCAACAAAATATTGGGTCTATTTTACCCCCTACTACTACCACATAATATCATAACAACAATCACAGAGTCATCAAGCAAATACACGCATAACTGACAATTATCACAAAGACAATCATCACACTATAACATAAACTAGTGGGTCGGACTTAGTGCCTTCGACCCACGACTACTGCGAAGGAAGACTCACCTTGAACCGTTGATAATCAACTAACTGATCGGGTCGCTGAACCAAATAACCTCGCACCAACTAACAAAAAAATACAACCTTAATTAATAATTAACCCGATAACTCAAAATCCAAAGCTCAATCCTTAATCCAACTTCCTAAAGGGTAAAAGACCATTTTTACCCTTTTCTTACTTGGCCCAAAACCAAGATCCAACCCATTAGCACAAAAGCCCAAATCTCCAAATGGCAACCCAAAGCCCAATATAGACCAACTTCCTAGTTGGGCCCAAAACCATTATAGGACCAATATTAAGGAAGCCCACATACTATCCATGGCCCAAAGTCAGAAGTGCAATGGCCCAACAAGGCCCAAACCTTAAAAGGCCCAAAATTAACTTGTTGGGGAGTACGCCCCGCGTACCAGAAGAGTATGCCCCGTGTACACACCCTCGAAGCACAAAGTACAAGCGATCGATGTAAAATTCATCATTACGTTGAGCGTACCTCCACGTCCACCCAACGTACTCGACAGGGATCCAAAAGTCAGCATTAAGCTCTTAATGGTTAAGACAATGACTTCCAAACTCAGATATGACCTAATAAGATGTCTGAACACATAAAGTTGGTAACTTTACTCCCTTTTCATGGCTTAATGGGACCAAAAACTTAATACAAACCATAATAAGCACCCAAACTCATGCATGGTCCAACATAACTCATCAAGATGACATTTTTTATGAACAAGGGACCTCCCAAATTTCAAGATCCAGCATACTAAGCTCTTGGAGTAGCCCATACTCACAAGGATGACTCTAAGGACCAAAATGATCCAAAATACTCCTTAAACTAGATCTAACACCTGGATTCATCAAGATAGAAACTTTATACCTCCAGAAGATAGATCAAGGTGCACCAAGGCTGGATCCAAGACCTCCAGACAATCCTATACTTCTCCAAGAAGCTCATTCTTCTTCAAAGATCACAAAAATGCATGAAATACCACCAAAAGCTCGAAAACCACACCAAAGGAGGCTAGGGTTTCGATTCTAGAGTTTAAAGGGATGGAAGTTGAAGATCATAAGGTTTGGTGTTGAGTTAGGAGCTTAAATAGGGTCGAAGACCCTAAATTAGGGGTTGGGTCTGACTGGAGTACGTCATGCGTAACTCTGGTATAACCACTGTACTCCAATGAGAAATCGTGACACCTCTGCCTAGTACGCCCAACGTACTCCCCAAGTACGCCCCACGTACTAGGCTGGCCCTTAATCCTTCAATCTTTCGAATGACATATCTTCTTCATTTTAAATTCCGATTTCGACGATCCTTATATTTACGGAAAGGTGACAAGAAGCTCTACACTTCTATCAACTCATCATTGCCTTAAAACTTCTCGAACTAAAATCCAAAATACAACAAAAGCCCGGACTGACACTTTACCGATATACCTCTTGGCTCCAAAATACAAACCGAACACCCAGATCATCTAAAATACACTACCCACACCCAAAGGGGTCTAAATCTATCTTTCCCAAAGGCCCTAAACCTTATGATAACTGATCTTCAGGTCACCGCCCCGAATTAGGAAACGATTCAGAACAGGGAATTACAGTAGGACACCATGCTTGCCAACCGATCCAACACATGATGATGGGTTTCAGGATAAGAATAAAGGACATTCTTACCCTCCAAAGCATCGACATATTTTTCATTCATCTCCACACATGCTCGACGAAGGCCGAGCTGAATAGCTGTTGTCTGCACTGCGGCATTGACATTCCCAAATCTGCATAGTTATATAAAGCACGGATGAAGGAGGGAATGCCTTCCTATACCAACCACCGAAGCTCATATGCTCTGACTTTGGTTGCTAAGGTAAAACGAGAATCATTTTGAAAAAATGAGGTTTGGGTTTGATTCAACTAAAGAGTCTGAGCATCCCTATCAGCAAGAAGTCCCTTATGGACAACAAGTTCTTCCTCTATTATCTTACTGCGTACATCATTGTCAGAACAGGATATCTGCAGCTCAGAGACCTTCTCAGTAAATCGAAGCTTTAAGGACTCGAACTGATGGGTCTTTTCCTCCAACTCTTTGGTGAGGGTCAAGCGATGACCAATGGCATCGCCTGTTTTAATCTAAATATCTTCATTTAAGTTCTTCATCTCATTTTGGTAGCGAATACTTTCACTCAGGTCGCCTACAATAAGGGTGTTCCTTTCAGAAAGCCTCCTTACCCTTTCTCAGAGTTCTTGTGCTTCATGTTCAGTTCATTCATGAATCTTCCTAAGACCTTTTAGTTTGTGTCGGCACTCCTTAAACTTAACCTGATGCTGGGCAAGAAGCTCAGTTCGGGCCTTGGTACGAGTAGATACCTCATTGATGATATTCATACCTTCCATTAGATGGGAACGAGATTTGTCAAGGGTTTCTTCATCGAAGCACTCGACAATTTAGGGATTCTAGGAATGGCACTGGTAGTAAAAGGACATTGAAACTGAGGAAGTGAAGCTGTAAGACTGACCAAGGTAGGAATCGAAGCCTCCTTACCAGAACATGGGATCACTGCAGTAAATAAATAGAGGAGAAAAAAGGGAGTAGGTTCTAATAAGTCAGCTCCCAAGTATGCGCCATATATATATATATATATATATATATATATATATATATATATAAGAGGGAAAGAAGAAATACGCAGCTTATAAGCAGAAAGAAAAAATCCACTTACGATTTACGCCAGACATAGGGGGATTCAGATTAGAAGGAGGCTTAGCAGAGGAAGTATCTATAAACATCGATGAAGACCTAGGAATATCAGACTCCAAGATTAACGGATTCACAGTTACAACAGTGGCTTCTGCGTTAGTGGCTTAAAAATGACCAAGCCTAGCCCCAAACAACTTCTGGCGAAAAATAGCAGCAACAGACAAAACAAAGGTAACCAAACCTCTTAATAGAGGTTGAGATACCTCGGTAACAACCAGAGCTTCGACAGAAACAACAAAGACAAGGGGGACTTCCATTTGGCTCGAGGGAGTAGAAAAAAGTTTCAATAGAAGGAACCACGGAGTCAGACGAAGTGATGTTATCTTCGACATGCTTTTAACGCAGGATCAGTGGTCACAAGGCAGTCATGAAGAGCAGAGGATGTATGGGTTTCTACAGGATCATTGGACTCAACAGATGTAGGGGGACCTGGGTGCCAGATCCTCTGGACTCCTGCAACTTCGGCTCATGAGTTCGAGCATACCTCTTTCGTTTCAGAGGGGAGGCGGTGATTGACTAGTCAGGACGGTTCATTACGCCCTCCAAGGAAACCACCTTTTCCAAACCGATTTTCCTTTTTAAGGATAAATCTTTCATAACAGCCCTAGTAGAGGAAGACGGAGGTTTCCCACTGCCTGACTCCATTTTCATATTTTTCTTGATCAAAGAGGAGACGGGTGGTATCAAAGCTTATGAAGATGGGGGGATTCATGGTGGAATCCATGCTAGATTCTGAAGGAGAAGGGTATTTTGGTATAACAACTTCCTCGGTGACCAAAACTTGTTTTTTCTTGGTCGATTGTGTTCACGTAGAGAAATCATTGACTTTACCCTTTCTTTTTTTTGTGTTTGCAGAAGTATATGACAACTATTTCACGTTGAAGATACACTACAGTGGTGTCTTCACCAAAGCACCTGGAAGGAAATACGTTGATGGTGTTGTAGCATATGTAGATGATGTTGACACTGATTTATTTTCAGTTCATGAGCTTGATGACATGGTCCGAGAACTAGGGTACAAAACTGAGCAAACCCTTTACTACCATTTCTGTATCCCTGAATACCTTTTAGACTATGGCTTAATGCCTTTAGGTAATGACCAAGATGTACTTAAAATGGTATCGTATGTCCCTAAACACATACTTATAAGGGTGTATATTGAAAATGGCCAGACAAGGGTAGTTAGTTATTACAAGTCTCCTTCTAAAGTTGTTATTGAAGAGTTGGAGCCTGATAGTGTGTCACCTGAAATGAATAGAAAAAAACCTTGTAGGAGAGAAGCAGGATCATGTAGTAGAAAGCTTGATTTAAAAAAGTTTGTGAACCCTGATTATGAGCAGTCACAAGTATTAGATGTTGATGAAGGGCATGATTAATCAAAGAGTATTCTGCCATATATAAGGTCACAAGCTAGCAAACAAAGTCATGGCATTCAAGAGTAAATGGTCAATCATGAAATTGAAACTCAAGAAGAAGTGATCACTAGTGCAGTTGAAACTGAAGAACCAGTGGGAACTTACCATGTAGAGGAACCAAGTTGCAAAGTTGATGATGGAGTTTGTACTGCAACAGTTGATGACTTTGAACCATTTGTAGAGGATTACTCACTTTATGCTGATTATGATGCTGAGTTTAATGTTCAAACTTCATGTGAACAACAACCATAAGTGGATTATCTAGAAGGTATGGTGAGTGATGATAGTGGAGAGGCTTTTTATTCTGAGAGTGGACATGGTTATGAGGGTAGTGGAGATGATTCTGCTGATAATAAATACAATGTGGATGAGTCTAACATACAATTTGATGTAGATGTAGACATGAGTGAATTATATAATGTTGTTGATGTAGATGAACATGGAATATTAAACAATCATTCTAACAGATGAAGGGAATGACATGGTTGATAATGAGTTGGAAGTTATCAATTTGCGGGATTTCATGAAGATGATAGGAAGAGACTGCTAAAATAGTTGAGTAAGTCAAGTAGATGCTCACATGGAGAGGTTCATGTAAAACCATTTCAGATTGGCCAGGTCTTCAAAACCAAGCGTGATGTTAAAAACTTCATGAACTCACATGATGTATAAAACAAGGAGGTCTCTATACCTAGCAAAAAATGACAAAATCAGGATTAGGGTGAAATGTAAAGGTGTTGTAAGTAAGCCATCTAAAGCAGTTGATGGTGGTGGGCCCTCAACTAGAAGTAGGGCAAAGTGCAAGGGTAAAGATGTAATTGCCAATAAAGGTACATGCCCATGGGCAGTCCAAATCTCGAGGGCTAATGAAAATCAGGATTGGTTGGTGAAAACAGTACAAGATGAACATAAATGTTTGCAAACAAGGGCGGTTAAAGCTTTCACTTCCAGATACGTAGCAAACTTAATTGTTCGACAAATTCAAAGTAACCCTAAAATTCCAGTGAAAGCTTTACACGAAGAGTTGTGTAAGAAACTAGAGTTAGGAATGTCATTGCAAAAGGTTGTTAGGGAAAAAGACAATGGTTGAATGTATCATTAGTGGGGACTACCAAGTACAGTATGGATTTTTAAGGGATTATGTGTTGGAGCTACTAAACACTAATCCTGGTATAACAGTTCGGATTGATGTGTATCCAGAAACCTCCCTCTCTATTACCACAAGAACTTTTAGAAGAATATATGTCTCTCTGGGTGCATTGAAGTTGGGATTCAAAGTTAGTTTAAGAGATTTTCTAGGTGTGGATGGTACATTCTTGAAGGGCCCTTACCCTGGGCAAGTGTTAACTGCTATAGGGTTGGACTCAAACAATGGCATATACCCTGTAGCATATGTAGTGGTAGAGACAGAATCAACAAGTAGTTGGACCTGGTTCTTGGAACTGTTAGGAGAAGATTTGGATCTGGGAGCAAATTCAAACTTTACATTCATTTCTGATAGACAAAAGGTATGTATCACCTAACTTTTTTTCTTATTACTCTTGCTAGATACATTTGGGTAACTGATGTTGCATACATTGACTTTTGTTTAGGGAATAATACCAGCAATTGAGAAGGTATTCCCCAGTGCAGAACATAGGTTTTATTTGAGGCATATCCAGGAAAATATGAATAAACAGTGGAAAGGAAAAGACTTAAGTGATCAGATTTAGGAGTGTGGTAGAGCAACAACAGTCAATCACTTTAACAGAGCAATAGATGAGTTGAAGAATATCAATGAGGAGGCTCATGCTTGGGTGTGTAAGATCCCAACAAACACTTGGTCTAAATCTCACTTCACTGGTATGTTTGTAGAAATTTAATGATAAATGTTAATCTTTCCTGTTGTGTGTTTACTATATGTGTAATTGTCTTCTCTTAATATATATTATACATGTAGGGCACACACTGATTGTTTGTTGAATAACCTTTGTGAGGTATTCAATTCTAAGCTAGATGAAGGTAGGGATAAACATATTATCACTTGCTTAGAGTATATTAGAGAGTATCTCATGAGGAGGTTATGTGTGGTGCAAAAGGAAATAGATAAGTGTGAAGGACTTCTAATCCCTACTGCAACTACAGTGTTTGAAAAGATTAAGACTGATGCAACTAAGTATGTGGCTAAATACAATGGGGCAGGAAAGTACCAAGTAGCAAACACATGGCAAGATCAGTATGTGGTAAACTTGAATGAGCAAAGTTACAGTTGTAGGTTTTGGGAGATTACAGATTTCCCATGTAGACATGTTGTTTGTGCTATATGGGACAAAAATGAAAATGGAGAAAATGCCCCACATGTTGATGAATGGGTCCATCCTTACTATAGGTTATCAACATGGAAAGCCATGTATTTCAACAAAATTGATCCATTGAATGGACGTTTAATGTGGCCTAAAAGTGACTGCCCATTCACTTTACTACCACCAAAACATAAAACACGGGTTTGTATTTCAAGTAGACCAAATATATAAAATACATGTGAACATGGAATGAGTTCAATTTTAACTATAGTATATCAATATGTGTAGGTTGGGAGGCCTAAGAAGAAGAGAAGGAGGAGTGTTGATGAGCCAAACAGCCAAGCTGGTAAATTGTGAAGGAAATATCTGGTAGTCACTTGTTCAAAGTGTCATAACAAAGGGAACAATTCCAGAACATGTAACGGGCAGGGAGGCAGTGGTGAAGTTGGAGGGGGCTGAAAACTATGTTTAGTAGTTATTAGGATGCTTGTGTTGTAGGTCTTTTGAAACTTAAGTCATGTGTACTTGTTTGAAGATGTAATGGCTGTATTTTTAGTAGTGTCGTCTTTATTTGTTTTGAAACTTAGTACGATGGTTGTGTTAAGAACTTTAAAACTTTGCATGTAATGGTGTGTATGCACATTTTGGTAATGAATTAATTTGTTTTGTGTACTACCCTTCAAAGATCAATATATAACAAGGTACATTTCAATTGCAAATCAAAACCATCTTAAAGATGCATTTGCAATACACTTAACAATTGCATTTCAAAAACATTCAAGAAATTTTACAATCAACTATAACAAACTACATTCCATTACCATTACCATTACCATTCCATTACGTTAATCTGATACATAAACCAAATACAACAACACCAATTCCAAAACCCCCTACATAAACTGAAAGCAAAAAAACCCCTATTCGATTAAAATAAAA